ATAATGCTATTGTAGTATCTTTAGGAGAGAGTAAGAAATTGTTTTAACAGCTGATGAATGACCATCTGATTTTGCTTTTATTATCCTGTCTTATCCCAACTACCAGAAGTGAATGTCGTACCATGAGGAGAGAAACACAATTTGAAAGGTCATCTAATTTTGCTTTCTCTTTTTCTGCCTTAATATCCCATGAACGGAAAGACTAATCATAACTGCTAAATGCATATGTGGTAAGGAGAATACACCGTTGATAAATGACCAACAATTATTTACTTCTCTTGATTTGTCTTATCATAGTCACTAGATTCTAATGTACATTATGAGGTAAGTAGACTTTTTATTATCATATATTCATCCTAATTGTGGTAGTCTAAACTGCCAGATACAAATGTAAAATTATTGGAGGTTAACAAATTGTTCTTACGTAAGAGGAATGCCATCTAATTCAGGCTTTTTAATAACCTGTTTTATTATCCCATTTATGGATAGAGTCCTGAATAACTGCACTTGATTGACCATCTAATTTGGCTTTTTATTATCCTGTCTTCACAAAAGGATAGACTTATCATCACTAATGTAGTACCATCAGGAGAGTAACAAATTGAAATAACTGCATGGCAATTTATTATACTATCTTCACATCCCATAAACGGATAGATTTGTCATCACCAAATGATAAATACAGTGCCATCAGAAGAGTAACAAATTGAATTAACTGCATATTCATGAGCATCTAATTTGACTTTTGTTATCCTGTCTTCACATCCCACAAACGGATAGACTTGTCATCACTACCAAATGATAATATAGTACCATCAAATAAAAAAATGCACTAGAATGATCATTTAATTTGGCTTTTTGTTATCCAGTCTTCACATCCCACAAACGGATTGACTTATCCCAAATACTAGATGCTAATATAGCACGATAAGGAGAATACCAAATTGAACCAATTCACCATCTAATTTGACTTTTTATTATCCTGTATTAATATCCAATTTATGGATAGAGTTCTCCACTACAATGCAGTACTATCAGGGG